GTCACCAGCCAAACCAACCAGGAGGCACTGAGGTCATGATAGGTGAAAATGAGAAACTCTAAAATTCTTGACTTGAATGCTAGAAATGAGAATTCGAAATAAAGAAAGAAGTGAGAAAACTTAACATTAAGTTTCCTATGTCAACTTTCCTTTGACATAAGAAAAGTAATTTCCTATGTCAACTTTCAACAATGTGAAAAGAAACCCTGTTGACAGGAAGCCACTGCCCCTGTGAGAAAAGAAATCCTAAAGGAATCACTTCATCCTGTGAGCTGAAGGTCTACCCCTAAGGAAGTCGGTTCAAGTGCACCATTTTTGAGTTTGCTCACCTTGTTTTCTGTACTTTCCTTCTGATCACAGAAGAGTAATTTACCTATAGCACCTTATAGAATTGGCTTTCATCAACTATGGGTATCAGAGAGGAAGAGCACAGAAATGAAATTTGGCCAAGGCAATCATGTAGTTCACATAAGACCCCATTCTGTAGTTAATGTCTGTCGTGTATAATCACCAAGTTAATTTCCCCAATCAAGCAAGTGGTTCATAATAATTTGAAATGGCTCAAAATTGTTAAATTAATATTCAAAATGTTACCGATTCAATGTAAGTCTTCTTCCCATAAAGAGGATGACAAAATCATCATATTGAATGGGGAAAGTATCACCTGCAATAAAATGGACATGAATGTTGGTATTAACTACCAAAGGTCTTTTTTTTTTTTTTTTTTTTTTTGAGTTTGCTTGTTCCCAAGACAGGGGTTTCTCTGTGTAGCCTTAGCCTTGGCTGTCCTAAAACTAGTTCTCAGAGACCTGCCTGCCTCTGCCTCACAAGTGCTGGGATTAAAGGCATGTGCCACCAATGCCCGGCACTACCAAAGTTTTTAATACAGCATTATAAATAGTTGCCACCAAGTGATCAGGAAACAAATGTGAAAACATAATGCTTCCACATAAAAATAAAGGCAGAAACTGTAGGAAGCCGGTTCCTGCATTATAATGTTGCCTGAAGACACCAAGGTGTGAATTACTTCACAGGCGCTGGGTAATCTCCATTCCTTTGATCTCTGCCTATCCCGTGGCTCATTTTGGCCTGAGGAGCTAAAGCCATTCA